AAAAAAATATTTAGTTTCAATCTCTATAAAAATGATATTGTAATCCCTGTCCTCGGCGCTGTACGGGTGCGAAACATGGACAGTGGGCGCGGCGGAAAAGAAAAGGTTAGAAGCGTTCGAAATGATGATGATATCGTGGGTAGAAAAGGTTAGAAATGAAGAGATATTGGAAAGAATAGGAGAACAGAGGACTCTCCGGAAGTCAATAAGAAATAGACGAGATAGGTTGGTAGGACACCTTCTCAGGCATGAAGGCCTAGTCAGAGACATATTAGTGGTAGAAACGGGAGTTAGGAGGGGTGGAGGTAGACTTAGATTAGATTACTTTTCGCCAATAGTTAAGGATGTGGGTTCTAGTTTTAGGAAAATGCGAAGATTGGCTCAGGATAGGAAAGAATAGAGGTGCGTGTTCAACTTACCGAGCGGCATGGCCTAGACGTTTAGACCATTGCTTAGCATTCGGGAGGACGCCGGTTCGATTCCGGGTCCGTCTGCCCTGGTCCAAGTTTTTCTGTGGTTTCCTTGGATCAATTAGGCAAATGCTGGGGCAGTAATATTCCACAGATAATCTTTCACTCTCTTCTATCTTCATTTCGTCCGTCTCATCTTTCTCACCCGAACCACTACCCACCCATTCCCACGATTCCTGAAAGCAGCCTTCCGTCCTACCTTCTGGCGTAGTCCGTAGGGACTGCCCGCCCACCAGCATTACTGGCTGGTGGGAATGAAACACCCAAAAGTTTTTTTTGTCCAACCAGTCTTAAGACTGACGGCCTTATGATGACGATGATGACCTTACTATTTGTTAAAAATCGCTATAATAATAATAATAGTAATTTCCCGAATCAAGTGTTACATAAGCAGAATTTCTTCTAATCTCTCCTATCTTATATTCGCTCTTTCCCTACTTTTTCTTCCCTTGCATACCAGTATTTTTGTTTTACTTTTATTTATTGTCATACAGTACTGTTTTGTCAATACCGCTTCCATTTTATTTAAAGCTATCCCTAACTCCTCCTTGCTAGATGTTAAGGTAATTATTCAATGATCATAATAATACTGGTTTTATTTGACGTGAGCATTGACCGATTTTTTTTATCTATTATTAATTTTGATGAGCAGTCTGGATCCTTGAAGGAAAATCCGACGTATGTAGTTATGGCAGGTATTTAGTAAGCATTATGACAAAGCCTCTTCCTATCTACAACAGTGACCTTCTCTAAATTACATTTTAATTAGTTGTGACCATCGGCTAACTACTATATGTACAAATATAAAACCAGACATCCTTTCACGTTCTATTTAGCAGAAGTTTTCAGCAAAACACTCGCAATAATTACAAATACTGCCTATTAAATACACGTAGACCTATGTATTCACGTGCATTGGATGACCTTACGTTACACATAACCATTACATAACCAGAAGAAACGTTTTAAGAGCATTACCTGCGGACATGTATGAGCTTCAATGTCTTTGTTATACCATTTGTTATATTTTTAGTGAGTAAAGTAACAAATAAAAAGTAAAGGAATAAATAATTAGGCACCTCTAACAAACCACAAGGTTACTGACAATGTATGCTGTTGTTTGTCTTATTGTTTAATATTTACAGGCTACAGAGTGTTTCATGTAGGGGCTCTCTATAAAATAGTTGCATTTTTATTAAAAGGGGTCATTCAACTATTACTTAAGCATTACAGGGGGGGCGGACGTCTTTGCTTTGCTTATTTTTGATGATATGAAGAATGGGTTGAGGGAGGGGGGTATGGAAAACGGCTTTAATAGCCTGAGAGTTGGTCACAAGATTTCTACGTGGATCAGGATTTCGATCTCATTGGAGATAATTCCATTGAAACCTACCAGCACGCTGTACTTCCTACTACAGATGGCGTTCACTGGGGTGTTTGAAGTAATTGATAAAACGACTAAAGACGGGAGTAGAGATGACTAGGTTAGGTTAGGATTATGTGATAGAGGAGGATGTGGATAGAAAATATTACTAATTAGGAGAAGGAGTAGGAGATTAGAGAAAGTTATGGAAGTTAATAAGAAATAGGTTAGATAGCTTGGTAGGACACCTTATCAAACATGAGGGACTAGTTAGAAATATGTTAGAAGTAGAAAGTTAAGAGGGGTAGAGGTAGACCTAGATTAAATTACTGTTCATAAATAGTTAATAATAGCTCTAGTGTTCGAGATAGGAAGAAGTGGAGGTGTGTGTGTCCAATCATCAGTCTTCGGAAGGTGGAGGATTAGTACTTAAAATAGGTTATTTGACGGGTAATATGACAGGGAACAATTGTAAAATATGCAACTCAATATACAGCTCCTATACTCTTAATGCGACTCCCCGAGTGAAGAATTAAGAAAATCTACAATTATATAAAATATTTCCATTTTATTAATTGAATAGGGTGATGGGTATTGAGAACACAAAATTCAAAATCAATTAGGCCATTGTTGATTGCGATGTTTCGTCTCTATTTCTTGAGATTTTATCAAGCTCTCAACTTATCTAACTGATTATCAAAATTATAAATGTAAATATAATAATAGTTGCATCTTCTTTGATCCAACCAGTTTATCTAAAATCCCATGATCCTGTTCAATTATTGTATAAGGGAAATGATTTCATCACAATCTCTCTTTAAAATCTCAGCTTGAGAAAGATACATAAGATTGAAGAACTGCTCCCCACATTTAACTCTTTCAAATGGTTCTATATGTATATAGGGTTGCCATCTCTAAAATTTGGAAATCAGGACAAGACGCGTGAAAACCCCGGATTTTAGAGTCCAGAACCCGGACATGTCAACAGGTTTTTTTAAACATAGTCAGTGTAATAAAAAACAGTTGAAAATGTCATAAATCACCCTTTTATTTATTTTCAGACCTTAAAATTAAATTTANGACGAAACGTAATTAAAATATTAAAGATTATTTACGTTCAACTTTTTTTAACAATTTGTGACTTTTTTTTTGTTTGTTACAGTACTGATGATGGTGTGGAAAAGTTTTACAATCTTGTGTACATTATCAACGGTAACGTGTGCCTCCTATCAAATCGGTAAGTAATTTTCTACCTGTTTTATTATAATATGCGAAAAAATCTTATTCGTTTAAATATTCACTTTACTGAAACAGGTTTTGCACGATTCTAAATTAAGTAAATGATAGTGTGCGACACGAATCATAAGTGAGCGCTTTTAAAACAACAACTCTAATATTTCTTATGACTTGACGTAGGTACATACAGTAGCATCAACAAATATTATTATATATTTGGAATCTGCGAATACGACTTTATGAATATTAATATTGAGTCTGCAACAGTGTTTTAAAGACCGCCGAGATTCAAAACGGTTCTATGACCTTGTAGAGAGCGCGTGGCGTCACTATTTTGTAGGAGACCCGAGCACACATTGCGGGTGCTTCAATTTTGCTTATTAAGCATCTGTAAATTGGCAATCCACGCGCTGTGTAACGGGGTCGGCGTGGCCTGAAATAGAAAGGCACGTCCTAGCGCGTTTTTTGGCTTTTTTTACGACGGGTATCTATGCAACAATAATAAGAACGCGCTACACACTTCAGGCCACGTTGACCTCAGTACGTGGAGCGTGGTTCGGCATTCCATGCGCTGACTAATGGGTTGAGCACAGACAGTACTTTTTAAAGTTTAAAATAATTACATATAGGTACATTTAATGGTTTCTAGTCATAACCACTAATTATGTTTCTAGTAGATTTTTATGATTATTATCATTTGGATGATTACAAAACTTAACCCTTCAAATATACATATAAATGACGGTAATGTGTCATACCTATATTTTACTATCAATAACCATAAAACAAATATTCCTACCAATACACATTACATATGTGGTCATAAAGGTTTTCATTATCATACTCGATTCATAGTAGTATAATATTTGAATGAATTTCTACGCCACAATTAACTTATAAATGATTATTATAATTAAGTAAAAAAAACAAAAGAAAAAAATAGAATAGAGGCAAAACGATTTTATATTGTCACACGTCAAGGAGCGAAATCTGTTGGGAGTATAACAAACTCCACAACACTCGAAAAATTTGTTAGTATGGAATTCCACACTTGAAATTATATGATAAGGGCTAGGTGGCCAAAATACCAGAGCGGTAAAATTAAATGCGATAAAACAAATTAAGGAAGATTGACCATATGGGGAAGGGTGAAGAATGTGAAGAAATTGGACGACAGTTCCACATATAAAAAGATTGATGTTTGGGATCAACCACTTCCCAATCTAGCAATTTAACCGCTCCGGGCAAGAATAATATTTACCACCCTTTACAATGATATATAAGTTATGAGCATGTTATTGTATATATGTAATGTTACTGGAATTGCATAATAGTCACACATGTTAGTTTACTGAGGACTCTCAACGAGTATACCGGCACAGAACATTGTTTTTAGGAGTTTTCAGATAACTGCGTTAAACTAATGAAAAAGTAATATTCGTATTTTTGCATAGATACATATATATAGACAAGCGAACATGGGGAATTCCCTAAAATGTCTCGTTGTAGGATAAAAGGGAATTCCACAAAAAATATATTATATGTACATGCACATTTTATCGGACAAAACTACTTCTCTGAAAGCGAGTGTTAGGGGCCGTTGTGAAACATAAACGAAACGAAAAGGGTTGCCAGTGTAGAAATGAAAAGTCCCTAAAAATTCGGGAGAATTTCCTTGTAGGTACTCTCAACTCAAAAATCGTGAAATATCATTTCATTTTGGTTGCTCAAAACAATCGGTTTCTTCTTTCCTATTGTTCTTTCTGCTTGGCTGTTTACTAGGATTAATCGTTAGAAAATTATAAGACAGCACTTTAAAATTTACTGGCCAGTCTAAGAATTTACAGCTGATAGCTACAATAGTGATTAAAAAAAAACTTTAATTATACTTCTTTGTCGAGCCGCTGAGCACTGTAATTTTTTTTAAGATTTTTCTTTCCTTACAACCCCCGGTATCCTCAATTTCACTGCCCCTCATTTTTACCACTTTGGGCCTTGGTTAGAACTTGTACTTAAACAAGCCCGTTTTATTCGATTGCTACTCAAGATTCCTGTTTCGTCAACTACTAACTAGCGATATTCAATTTTGAGACTTCTGAAGATGTATGTGCTTTCGACAATGCAACCAAAAATTCCTTTACTACAATGGGTTTTTGCATATTTATGCAAGCATTGTAGATAATCACGATATAGTTAAATCCTTGTTGTAAATAATTCAAAAATAAGTGTTACTTTTGGTATAGTGAATATATAGTGGTCTAGCCCTATTTTCACCCCACGCTAGTTCAATCTTATACGCCGGTCCTGGCAAGGAGCAACCAATGGAATTTTATATTTAAGGGACCATTTAACCCATGGAAAAAGATTATATAGTTTATTTTAGAATCACCATATTGAATGTCAAACGAAAGTTGTAAATTAGGACAACAAAAAAGCAGATATTTACTTTAATTTTCTAAGTAATATCGTTTCGTCGTCATCATCATCATGGAGTCGGTAGCCTAAAGACTGATCACGTAGGTACGCACCTACACCTTTATCTTCTCATTTTGCAAACAATAATCTAATATTTTACAGCTTTTAGGTATAGGTAGTTACCTGTTCCTCTATTACTCTTTACATTCGCAACAAATAAAAATTTTATTACTTAAAACTCACGTTATTATCTACAATGTTTATTATTTATTACCATTCTTATTACAGGTAATGTGTAGTCTAATAGTAGGAATTTTTTTATTCGTGAATTTTACGAAAACCTTTGGATTGTGATTGTTTATCGTCTGTGGGTGAATAGACAATTGTACCTAAGTAACTGTAATAATTTCACTGATAAGAATCACTGTAATATAAATAATAATAAAATTTAGCCAATGTCTACAAATTTCCAACGGAAAATTTTGAGACGAAACGTAATTAAAATATTGAAAATTATTTACGTTCAACTTTTTTTAACAATTTGTGACTTTTTTTTTGTTTGTTACAGTACTGATGATGGTGTGGAAAAGTTTTACAATCTTGTGTACATTATCAACGGTAACGTGTGCCTCCTATCAAATCGGTAAGTAATTTTCTACCTGTTTTATTATAATATGCGAAAAAATCTTATTCGTTTAAATATTCACTTTACTGAAACAGGTTTTGCACGATTCTAAATTAAGTAAATGATAGTGTGCGACACGAATCATAAGTGAGCGCTTTTAAAACAACAACTCTAATATTTCTTATGACTTGACGTAGGTACATACAGTAGCATCAACAAATATTATTATATATTTGGAATCTGCGAATACGACTTTATGAATATTAATATTGAGTCTGCAACAGTGTTTTAAAGACCGCCGAGATTCAAAACGGTTCTATGACCTTGTAGAGAGCGCGTGGCGTCACTATTTTGTAGGAGACCCGAGCACACATTGCGGGTGCTTCAATTTTCCTTATTAAGCATCTGTAGATTGGCAATCCACGCGCTGTGTAACGGGGTCGACGTGGCTTTAAACGGGAAGGCACGTTCTAGCGCGTTTTTTGGCTTTTTTTACGACGGCTACGAGTATCTATGCAACAATAATAAGAACGCGCTACACACTTCAGGCCACGTTGACCTCAGTACGTGGAGCGTGGTTCGGCATTCCATGCGCTGACTAATGGGTTGAGCACAGACAGTACATGCCGCGCGTGGATTCCGCTGCACATTCTGTGTAACGGGTTCGGCATGACTTGGAATGGGAATATGCGCTCTGAAGCGGGAAGGCGCGACCTACCGCGTTCTTTGGTTTATTTTTAGAGCAGCGGCAGGCTTCTAATAGGATAATAAGCAAACACCAAGACGTTCCTTCACGGTCTAGGCCGTATCGACCCCGTTACATGAAGTGCGGGTCAGAATTCTACCCACCGGCTAATGGGTTAAGCATAGACAGTACATGCCGCGCGTGGATTCCGCTGCACGATCTGTGAAACGGGTTCGGTGTGACCTGAAACGGAAAGGCGCGTCCTGGCGCATTCTTTGGGTTCTTTTAAGGGCAGCGGCAGGCTTATATAGGTTAAAAAGAACGCACCAGGACGTTCCTTCAGGCTCCAGGCCGCATCGACCCCGATATACTTATGGAGCGCGGTTCCGCATTCCATGCGTCGACTATTAGGTTGAGCATAGACAGTACATGCTGCGCGTGGATTCCGCTGCACGATCTGTGAAACGGGTTCTACGCGACCTGGAGCAGGAAGGTGCGGCCTGAAGCGGGAGGACGCGTCCTGGCGCGTTATTTGGGTTATTTTTAGGGCAGCGACAGGCTTCTATAGGATAATAATAACGCACCAGGACGTTCCTTCACGTTCTAGGCCGCATCGACCCCGATATATGGAGCGCGGTTCCGCATTCCAGGCGTCAACTAATAGGTTGAGCATAGACAGTACATGCTGCGCGTGGATTCCGCTGCACATTCTGTGTAACGGGTTCGACATGACTTGGAATGGGAAGATGCGATCTGAAGCGGGAAGGCGCGTCTTACCGCGTTCTTTGGGTTATTTTTAGGGCAGCGGCAGGACGTTCCTTCACGCTCTTGCCCGCATGGACCCCGATATATGGAGCGCGGTTCCGCATTCCATGCGTCCACTAATGGGTTGAGCAAACAGTACACATCGCACGTGGATTGCCGTTCCACGCGCCATATAATATGACCTTTAGTCTTAGGTATTGATAATCAAGTATATTTATTAAATCAAATTTATCAGAACGCCCACTTAACGATTAATTCTCAGATCATTATTTAAATATACTGACCGTCCAAAATTTGACGATGTCAACGATGTCAAGACAGTTAGCAAATATACTGTAAAAGTTTATTATATGTGGAAATTACAATTATTTGACAACTGGTTCTGATTTATTACTGACAATCTCAGCAGAAAGATTAAGTGTGCCTTCAGGGTTCAGGCCGTTATAATATTTATGTAAACTTAACGAATGTGTACTGTAAAAACTAACTTAAAGAAAGAGATAATAAATAGTACATTACGTATCGAGGGAAGAAACAGGCTGCGTGTGAATTGCAAACATGCAGTCTGGGATAACCCTGTTTCTTCCCGAGGTACGTATACTATTTTTGTCATGTATGTACGGAAAGCTCGTCATTAAATTGATTGTTGGCGAAATAAGAGTAAATGATTTAGAGGTTAGAAAGACATTGTCATTAAACAACTGATTTATGCGCATGCCCACAAACTTTTCATTTCCTCTCGACTAAAACACGGCTGAAAAGAGGCCGTTTCTTTCCTGTTTCATAGCATGCAAAACGACCTTTCCGCGCTATCATGACAAAAATATATTTGTTGATACAGTACAGACTGAACACAGTGATCAAGCGGCTGATAAAGGTCGACCGCTAAGCGGTAACCCTTGTAAATCCCTGCAGAATTGTGACGTCACGCTACTAAAAGGTCATCCCGAATATGTCTCAATAATTTATCGATTTTCAAAATGAATACTAACTTTACCAACTATCTTGCGTTAGAATAGTTCGATAATAAAAATGGAATTTCTTTGTAGGTGCCCCTAACAATACAGACATTGAGTTCGTTCTTATCAATGATAATAATCCTTGTCATCGAACTTGTGTAAAAGGTAGTGAGCCTATGAGATGCCATTACACATTTTCGGTGGAATGGTACAGAACGATGAGTAAGGCATGCTATTTATGCCCATTTTCGCCGGAGGATTGCGATCTACCCCATTGCATACCAGGAGAAGGCAGCAAAAGAACAATTGCAGTAGTTAATAGGCAAATGCCTGGACCAAGCATTGAGGTAAGCGAAAATGAAAAATTTTTTGATGCACACATTTTCAAAATGTTATTGATCGTGAAAAGTAAAAATTTAGTTATCAAATGTGTTGAAAGAAACAAAGAAACGCACCGAAATAAAAGATCCTGAATGGATTTTGATTTGGTTTTATTATTAGTAAAATGTATTAAAGTTTCAATACTAAACTTGTCAATAGTCCGGGCGCCATGACTTTCGAGAATGGTAGTCGACGGAACGAGACGAAATTGTTCTTAAAATTTTGATAAATTTCAAATCAATACCGCATCCTAATGCAATGAGGTCATCGGTATTAGATGCGTTTGAAATGTGGTATTACAGGCTATTGATGAGGTTACCGTGGATAGAGAAGGTTAGAAATGAAGAAATGTTAGAAAGAATAGGAGAACGAAGTCCTCTTTGGAATTCAATAAGAAATAGGCGAGATAGGTTAGTAGGACAACTTCTTATGCATGAAGGGCTAGTCAGAGACATATTAGAGGCAGAATTAGGAGTTAAGAGGAATAGAGGTAGATCTGGATTAGATTACTGTTCACAGAGAGTTAAGGATGTGATATGTTCTGAGTTTAGGGAAATGCCAAGATTAGCTCAGAATAGGAAAGAGTGGAGGTGCGTGTCAAACCAGTCTTAGGACTGACGACCATTGATGATGCATTGTCATATTATTTACATATATGTTTAAACTCCTTTGCCATCTATCGTTAGAAAAAATGTGATCCCTGAATTTCTCTAGTGGACAATAGTTAATGTACGTACCTTTATATTTTGCAGGAAATTTTTCAAAATTACTCATTCCAAATTGGATAAATCCGTGAAATCTTCCTTTTTAGTCTTGGCCCAGGACTATAAATATGCCCCGATTGACTGATCGGTTAAGTGTTTCTCCTACGACAACTTGAATTAATCAAAAACATTAAGCACGTCCTAATTATCTAAGATGTGTTTATTTTTAATATTTTTCTATAGTGAGATTTAGTAAGAAGTGGTCGAACCCCCTCCTCCTTGTCATGATTTGTCCTGTTAAATTATTTTTTATATAATAATGTACTTATATCTATTCTGTGAATTAAAAGTTGACATGACGGACTCCTACAAATAAATATTTGCTGACCCCCTCTTTCGACCAATTTTTTGATGTCATCTATTTCAGCCTAACACAATCTGGGACCACTGTCACTCCGACTCGATACCTAGTTGTTCCTCTGTTTGTAATAAGCCATTAAGGACAAAATATGAAAGACTAGCGTTAAAACCAAAATAAAACAAAATAAGAAAACACTTTTCAGTGGTTATAAAATCAAAATTTCCTGTTCGATAAGACAGAATGTATGTTAAACATGTAATAATGTTCAGAAAATTCATTTCACATATGTGGATAAAAAAAATACATATATGTGTATTTCGACATTATATTTTTTTCAACAACCAAATGTAATAAATTAATTATTCTTACGCCATGTAACCTAATTGACTATTTGCGATAAGAAATTCGTAACGTGTATGGTAGACACCTAATAAAGTAAAATAGCACGAGAGAGATCTAATGACCAGTTATGATAGAAAAGTATGCTTGTAGAAATGTAATTTATTTGAAATGCTTGCATTTAAAATGTAAGCACAAAATACTAGAGATGGGTAAGGTATCGGACAATGACGCAGGGTACGCGGCAGCGTCAGAAAAAAAAAAGAAAAAGACAACACCAACAATTATAATTTGATAAGTATAACAAAAAACCTACTTAACGAAAATTACTAATTTAGATTCCATTGGAATAGGTCGTTTGTCCTAATTCGTATTATTTATTGATTACTATACCTTGCAAATGATCATTGGAGCTAAAGAATGTTAAGTCAGACGCTAACGATAATTTCGGCTATTATTATCGAAAAATACAAGGTAATTATTGTCACATAGACGTGTAAGAAAGATGAAGATAAATAACGCAAATAGCGAGTGAGTCATACTTTCAGGAGAAGTAACAATTATTATTAAAATAATTAAATATCCTATGGCTTTTTCCTAAATTGCCTGTCCATGGCTATTGACGAGGTCGTGTATTTTGGAAACAAGTAGTATTCTAAATAATTCGTTATGTACAGACAGGATACATATGTTGTGGAGAAAAGGGATTTAGTAACAATATGAATATTGTTGACAAAATTAAAAAAAAAAAAGAAANACATATGTTGTGGAGAAAAGGGATTTAGTAACAATATGAATATTGTTGTCAAAATTAAAAAAAAAAAAGAAAACGAAATATAATAATCTATGCATTGGAATTTATTTACTATTATTTTAAGTCTCTGAAATTTATTCAATTTTTATTATAAATTAAATTAGCCGAGAGACGCCTTTCGGTTTGTCTGCCTGTTTGTTTGTTTGTTGCACCATAACTTAGAAACGATTGGATGGGTTTTGATGTAACTTTCCGTGTTACGTAAAGCATCGGTGTTTCAATATCATCAATAAAAACGTTAAATTGTTCGAGTAGGTTTTTCTTACTAGTAAGTTAAAGCTGACCAAAATGGGGTTTCAATCAATGTCAAAAGAAGTATTATACGCTAGGGTAAATAATTGATAAGGAATTATCAGGACCAAGGCTGAATTAGCAAAACCAAGACTGAATTAGAAGGATCAAGACTGAATTAGCATGACCAAGGCTCAATTAGCAAGACAAATACTTAATTAGCAAGACCGAGTCTGAATTAGCAAGACTAATATTGAATTAGCAAGACCAAGACTAAGACCAAAACCAATACCAAGTCGGGGACAGATCTTGCCCTTTTTCAACGGAAATTATGGAAACATGTACAGGAATTGCTTGTTGCTGGTCTGAGAAAATGAACATCAAATATAAAAAGTATGCCTTAATCTCTTGAAACAGAAAAAAGAAAAGAAAAAGTAAATTTTACTCAATGCTTTTAGCAAACACCACTATTGAACTACAATAGAATAGCACCAGTATTTAAAATATAGTTGCAATTTAAAGATACCTAATACTAAAGGAAGTTTTCTTAAAATAACCTTTTATACTGAAATACTGAAAGAAACTTAAATATTGTAAGTACATATTTATTAAAAAAAAAAACGCTTTCAAAATACGTATGTATTTATTAATCGTATATAAATGTTTTTTTATAAACTATTTCGCACATCTTTAACGTTTTACGGCTATATAACCGAAATACTACTGACTCGCGAAGGATTTCCGTTGCGAAAGGTCATTAAAGCTAAAGAATATTACGTCAGACGTTAACGTGAATTTCGGCTATTATTATCGGAAGATACAAGATAATTATTGTCACGTAGACGCATAACAAAAATGAAAACAAAAAACGCAAATAGCAAGTAAGCGTCACACTTTTAGGAAAGGTAACAATCATTATAATAATTAAGTATTCTATGGTTTTTTCCTAATTTTCCCGTAGCTGTTGACGAGGTCATATATTTTGGATAGTAAGTGGTATTTTGAATAAATCTTCATGTACAGACGGGATGCTGATATTGGTAAAAAAAGGGGTTTAGTAATAATATGAATAATATTATTGTCAAAATTAAGAAAAAGACAAACAATATTAACGTGATATAATAATGTATGCATAAGTATTAATTTATTTTTATTTTAAGACTCTGTAAATTAAGAACTGAAATTTATTCATTATTTATTATAAATTAAATTAACTCTCGGTCTATCTGTCTGTTTGTTTGTTTGTTGCACCGTCACTTAAAAATGATTGGATGGGTTTTGATGTAACTTTCCGTGTTATGTAAAGCATAAGTGCTTTAATATCATCATCAAAATAAATTTAAAATTGTGCAAATAGGTTTTTCTTACTTGTAACCTATAGGGGACTAAAATGGGGATCGAAGTCAGAGTCAAAAGAAGTATCGCAATACGGTAGGGATCTAGGTACATACGTATTAATAAGTAATTTCTATTTTATTTTGAAATCGCACACATTTCTGTTTATCATAGTAATATGCGTCAAAAAATATCAACACCTCCTACTCCAATTGCTGTTATCATCATCATCTTAAGGTCATCAGTCCTAAGACTGGTTGGACAGGTACCTCCACGTTTTCCTATCCTGAGCTAATCTTCGCATTTTCCTGAAACTAGAACAGCCCACATCCTTAACTATTTGCGAAGAGTAATCTAATCTAGGTCTACCTCTACCCCTCCTAACTCCTGTTTCTGCCTCTAATATGTCTCTGACTAGACCTTCATGCCTGAGAAGGTGTCCTACCAACCTA